TAAAAAACAAGATACCCCTAACTGCGAAAGAAAAATCTTGGGGGAGCTCAGGAAAATGCTAATTTTTTCGCAAAGTCCCATTACAAAAATCCTTTAATAAAAACTCATCATTTGATTCCAATATCATACCTCTATAAATTTCATCTTGGTCCCATAGTCTGAAGGTGAAATCCAGCATACTGAAAAATCCTGGATCCGCCGCTATTTACGAGTGCTGTCGAGTCCTCTGAACAAACGGCGATCTGATAGTTTAAAGAATTATGATGGTGATTAAGTGCATCATATCGAAACTCGGCTTCACCAATGCACGCACCAGCTTTCTCAAGACTAAGGTTTAAGGTAGATAATGATGGAAGTGCGCCGGGTAAGTTCAACCGTACAAACTTGTACAAGTTTCGTCCTCCTAAGATATACAATGACTGTGCAAATTGTTAATACGTCTGTTGAAACGTAATTCATCAATACTTAATAATCGGTCTTTTCCGCTTAATAAGCAACAGAGATCTTTGTAGATTCCTCTACAGATCGAATCTCCAATGATGAGTACCTTATTTCCTTTAAATATTTTTCGTACCTCTTCTGAGGTAACATCAGATGTTATCATCTTAAAAACTCCAAAATCAAATATATCTATAAAGAAAGTATCATCTATTTATTGCTTTATGAGAGTGAACTAAAAGGTAACGTAAGTCAAAAAGAATGAGAAAAAATCTCAGACTATATCTTTTTTTTTTAAATAACAATAAGTTCTTAATTCAAGTATATGTTCATTTTCGTATGTATTTTCTGAGCCATTACAGTATGATGCAAATAATTATCTAGTTACGTTCTAAAAACAGGATTATTGACCATGATATAGAAAATTCGTTTTCATGTTTCTCCTCTTCGGCGCATAGAGTCCATCCTGTATGAAGAGGTAAGACATACTCGGAAAATCCGCGCCCATTAGTTTATATTAATACGAACATAATTCGGTATACCCGTCCCCATTTTAAATTTTATTCATTTTTGTTTAATGTTGTAGAGGAAGTTGTGCATGAAGAACTCATCAAGCCAGATGATTCAAGTGCTTATTTAGCACTCATATCAAGACTTTCTAATATTTCAGTCTCGTCTATATCCATCTGAGTATTTTGAGAGTCTTGTTCTAATTCTCCAAGTTCTGAGTCAACTTCTTCGTCATCATTGTCATCACTAGTATGTTTGACCTGTTTATTTTTGATGATTACTTTATCTATTGATGCCTCTTAGGCACAGGATTCCCATGGGATTCCCTGGATTCCCAGGATTCCCGTGGGATTCCCTGGATTCCCTGGATTCCCATTGGATTCCCAGGATTTCCAAGATTCCCAGGATTCCCATGGGATTCCCTTGGGATTCGGAATCCCGGGAATTCGCCGTTTCCCCCTTGAGTTTTTTCTTTTGTTAGTCGGCCTACATAGAATAAACAGAGTGTATTATGGTTTTCCGAGAAGGTGACTGCAGAGAAGTAAGCTAATAACATTGTGTCTGGTTATGTCTATGCATTAGAACTGAATGTTTGAATGCAAATCAAGGCTTTCAGAAGAATCGGGTCAAAAAAACTTTTGTAGTGCCCTGTGTACCGTTTTATAGTCGCAAGATATCGATACCCTTCTGTGAACGACAAATTCAATGTGCAAGTCAACTCTTCTTTTTTTTCTTTTTATGCTCTGTCGTCTTGTGTCTCTTTCTCTTCTGGGCTTATATATACTCTCTCTTTTGAATGCTGTGCCAATAGTAATATGATGGCACGAATATATGATGTTACAGAATTATGTTAATGTTCGTAGGATATATCAGTAATTATATAATCGCATCATCTCTTTATGTTTATATAATATCTATAGTATCTATTCTCTTCACTTGCACATATATGTTGTATCATTCGGTTTCTTTTCATTCTGTTATAGGAGGCTCGCTTTTTCCTATCCTTTTTTCTCGCTTTCTTTCTCAACTATATGGATGAGTGATTGAATAATTGAACATACAAAAGGAGGAGGAGGATCGATTGAAATAAGGTCAACCGGAGATACAGTTCATATTTTTTCGTTAAATATATGTTCTCTTGTTTTTTTTTTCTAGATTGTTTAACAAATATTTTTTTCGTCCTCTTCTCTTATTCATATGGTGAACTTCGGCGTGTTTTCTGCTTCAATCAGAACGTTTGTTCGGATTAATTCAGATGGTGATGGTCTTTAATGGAGTGTTAGTAGTGCTTTAATCTTTTTATGTCATACTTTGTGGTTAGCACAAAAACTATGAACGTACCAATGTGTTGTTCATCTTGGAGTTTAGCTGCTGCTTCATGTAATGTAGCTGCTTTGAATCCTCCATGATTTAGACTTATATGGCTCCAAGGTATTTTTGTCCCTTTGGCAAGCAAAATAACTTTTTCTGGACAACGCTGTTCACCTGCATCATCTGACAGTAATGGTACTTTTGCTACTTTTGATCGACGAGACTCGGCTATAATTTCTTGATTCTTCTCGATTTGTTCTTGCTCATTTCGTTTTTGTTCCAATCTTTGTCGCATTTCGTCTAGAGTTTCATGAACTGGACCTTGACATACGACATGAAAATAGATATGACTCAATACAGTGTAGCATATATGTAAAACTGATAAGAAAAATAAGCAAAAGTGATTTTTTTTACTAGATTGTTAATTGATTATCAAGTAATAGATGAGTTCTACATCATAAAAAGGTTAGCAATTTCAATTCATATGTAGGAGAGTTTGTGTGCAAATAAATTGTTTTATTCTATTCTATTTCTGAGTGCAAGGTAATGTCATTATTGGCATGCATTATTTGCAGTTCTGTTAGAGAGGTTCAGCAATTGATAAGTATATGTGAATCAGTTCATAAGAAGGTCGAGTAAGAGAGAAACAAGATGTTATAGATGAGAAGAAACAAGGATACATGAGGGAGAGAAAGAAAGAAAGAAAGAAAAAAGACAAGAGAAGAGAGGTGAGAAAAAGACGAAGAAGGTGAGAAGGAAGGGAAAGAGCAAAAGGGGAAAGAAAGGAAGAAATTGAAAAAAAAAGACGACCAATACAACTATAGATATCTGTTTAGTAATTCGACCATAGTTATTCATCAAAATTGTGAGAAGTGTAAAATGATTGAGTTCGTTACAATCTACAGGTTATTAGTGGAGTCTTGACACCTTTCATTAGATGTAAAATATAGCCTATATCCGAGATAACTTACGATTTGTATATATTTTTTTTTGAATTACGAAGTAATCCATTAATAATACAGCTGCTTTTGCTGTAGCTTCAGAGATTACTGTCCACTTGTGTGTCTCTTTAAAATCTCTTACTACTCGCTTGAGTAGGTCAAACACTGACTTTGTCTTGTCATAATACCCAGGTAATGAATTATCACTTATCAATTGATCAAAGACAGCAGAAGCTAAAGAGGTGACATGTAAAGCTCCAGCCAATTTGCTTACTTGCACTTTTGCTTTGCCTAAAATTGATCCTAAACCTTGGTCAACTCCATAAGCTTCTCGAATTTGAATGGTATACTCATCAAAAATATTGTTAATGATCTGTAGAAAAAAAAACAGAATGACAAACTCATATTGTTGAAGAAAAAAATTTTTTCTTAAATGATGTTATATATTATTTGTCATTCATTTTCGAGACATGCTCATTTATAACTAATATTATTTTCATTTCCCCATGTTATTTAAATTCTACAGCCATGCTCATTCAATAGCTAATATTATTTTCATTTCTTTCTAAAATATTGGAAATCTAATTCCATGCTTCAACGAAAACAGTTGTTATCAATTAAAACCAGTGTACCTTTTGTGCATTTTCAGAGTATGTATATAATACACATGGAGAATCATTATCTGTTGTTCGTCGTACATCGTTTTGTTCTGTCGAGTTAAAACAATATATAATGTATAGTAAATGAGTAAGACCTGGTTCGTCTATGTTGAGCGACCTGATTTCATTTGATAAAGGAATACAGGGTGCAGGAGCAGAAAACAAGAACCGAGCCATGAGGCCATCATCATCCGACTCACTAGATACCGACGAAAATATATCAGCTGGATGTGCTGCTGCAGCAATATTGAGTACAGGATTTTCTACTGCAATATTTCCAGATTTAATTTGATGCCTAACAAGAGCAGATGAGTTATACAACGTGCACATTATAGACCGATCATAGGCAGCACCACCTTGTTTATAGAGACCGAATGATTGCAAAAGAGTAACTGCTTCATCCCAAATTTGAATGAGTCTAGGCGACGTATTTTTAAGGGGGGGGGGGGGGGG